ATCTTTATTAACGTCGTATACAATCTTATTTTGGGGAATGGGACATACGTTTGCTAGCTTCCACACCGCAGGTAGCCGTCTCTCCCGAAAAGACGCATTCAATATCACTGTAACAGTTCGGCAAGTAAATCGGCAAACGATTTCAACACCCAATTCGGTAGATTATCGGGGCCACTTGATTTACCCGAACCAATACGCTGTAAATGAGACAACACTTCCTCGACAGAAACAACAATTGGGGTATCGTTTTCAGATATAACAGCCACATTATCGTTTAAAGGAGGGTAATTAAGCATGGGTTCCAAAAACGTGTCATTTATCAGATTACTAAGAACAGTGGGATCTTGTGTATCTTGTTCTAGGTCGCAAAAATATTATCGGGTGTTCCCATGGAAAGACCACAAAACCGTTTCACTTCTCTGCACCAGTCCTTTGGTTTAGTATTCTTCATATCTTGGACCTTATTTTCATAATACAACTTGCGACACCTTTTTCTGGAACGATTGTCTTTGTTTCGTAACATTTTGTAAAGCGTTTGGTTACCTTGGGCAAAAGCTTTTGCTTTTTATTAATAAGGGTTCTCAAGTTATTATTCATCCATGGTCGATCGTTGTGGTTTGTTACTACAGCTTTCAAAGGTGTTAAGGTATCCAAAGTGTGGTTGATAATACAAGTAAAACTATTTAAGTTTTCTTCACATGATCGGTTGGAGGATACCATAAAATCCCATGGGACTTCAGAAAGAAATTTCCCTACACGCCTTATACTACTGGGTCTTTTGTCGCGAACACAAATTACATTTTTACTCTGCGTCCCTTTAGTTCGAATATTGGGAAATGCAAGGATAGTTAAGTGATCTGACAGTCCAAACGGTGGTATACCATATGGTTTGTCGTAGAAGTCAGCAAGATTGGTTAGGATTAAGTCCAGTTTACTCGACCCCCTTGTTGGAAAATCAACTATTTGCTTCAGATGGAAATGTCGAGTTAGCTGCTGAGTGGGCAATTTATTAAAGTCACCAGTTAAAAGTATTTCGCAGTTTGGGTATTTAGTTTCCATTATCTCCAAGGATGATTGCAGGTGTTCCAGCATAAGTGATTTATTAGCACTGGGTAGATGGTACAATACTCCTATAACGAGTTTAGCATATCCTCTTGGGAGGCGTCGAGAATTAATTATAGCCCACAAGACTTCACATTCATGTTCATTTGGGACATCAAGGACGCTAATGGAGTAGCTACTTTTTATATACAGACAAACTCCAACATGTTCTCTTTCTTTCCTATCTCGTCGTAGCAAAGTGTAATTATTAATTTGGACGACATCATCCGGTATTTGTTTTTTTAGCCAAGTTTCTGTGATACAGATAATATTAGGATTGTGATTTCCTATAACTAGCGCCAGCTTATCAACCTTTGGCACCAGAGACATTACATTAGATAGTAAAACTGATGGCACAAAGTGACCATTAATTGGTTCTAAGGGTGATTTACTAGACATAACATTTGGGAGAGATTTTTCAGGCGCTATTTCCTTGGGAGAGTTTATACATTGGACTTGTACAAGGTTATGGGGCACCGTTGTCTTCTATGTATATTATATAATTTATTCTATATTCCATCATTTCCGGCGTTTCTATCGTTACCGTTACTCAGACCAATGTCACATTCGGGGGACGCCGATATTTCAGTCTCGAAGTAGGTGCTATACGAAAAACCTGTTCGTTAAGATTATTGTTTTTATTATTACTACATAACTGGTTGTAATGAGGAATGGATACCTTTCTATTAGGCCACTGGCTGTTGTCGTTGGGTCTGCTAACATTTTTTTTATGTTTCTGTAGAGGTTTCTTCCGATTAGCCCTTAATTTGTTGATTTCTACTAGTAATACGAACAGGAATACTTTGACTATTCACGGCATTCCTTAATTGGGGATTACTGACATTTTTATTATAGGATCGTTATGTAAAGGTGTATGTAAACCGTCCAACTATTTATCATTATTTTGGACATAATTTTCTTTTATTCCCGCTTCAAAACAAACATCTTTTATACCAACAATTGACATGATCATTATATTATCGGCATTGCGGTTGAGGTCTTTGTCTAGAGATATATCATTTAAGGGTGTATGTGAATCGTCTAACAGTTGATCATTGTATTGGGCATTTTTATTCTTTTCTCCCGCTTCAGCAGAACCGCCTATTATATATATATATATATATATATATATATATATATATATATATATATATATATATATATTAGAATTAAGACTTTCATCACAGTTCATTTAGTCTCATATAAGCGAAGTTTCGTTTGCCTTCGCAGTGAATCTTCACCAGTTGACTGTAAATTATGGTCAAGTTTAAAATACTCTAAAATTAGGCAAATATTTCTCGCGGAAAAAGGTATATATATATATTATATATATATTATATATATATATATATATATATATATATATATATATATATATATATATATATATATATATTAGAATTAAGACTTTCATCACAGTTCATTTAGTCTCATATAAGCGAAGTTTCGTTTGCCTTCGCAGTGAATCTTCACCAGTTGACTGTAAATTATGGTCAAGTTTAAAATACTCTAAATTAGGCAAATATTTCTCGCGGAAAAAGGGCTTGGAATCGTTCTTTGGAAGAACGATAGGATATCAACCCCCCGGATATTATTGTTTCAGATTCAAATTTTATAATAACAATCTCAGTGCGTATAATATAACAATCTTTTGCGATTTTTCCTGCGCATATGCGTTGCCGAATCGCAATAAGAACCAGACAGAATGAAGCGCACAATAATGTAGATGAATGTCCTTCTTTGCGGTATCTGCTGGTTTAATACAGTTGCTGTGGTAGAAGGATTTACGCAGACTAACGCTGTTTCAGCTCGAATCTGAAACTGAATCTGAATCTACATGAAATTTGAATCTTAACGAAAAATATCCGGGGGCGCCTAACCTGCGATCAGGCTTTTCGGGGAGGAAAGGGAGAGGAAAGAAAAGCCTGATACAAATGTTAATTAGACCGCTTTCCGCCCCTTAACCTGCGACCAGGCTACCCGGAAGTAAAAAGTTGCGCGTATTTCGTGAAAAAATGTAAATATGGCTTCAAGCCATGTGTGTTCTCTATGTAGAGAGAATTTAAAAGTTAAATATGGCTCTTGTGTTGGGACAGTTCCGTTGTTTAAGGTAACAAAAAACAAAGAAATTACAGCAAAAGTATCGGGTAACTGTAGTGGCATTGTTTTGGCAGATTTACTTAAAAGTATCGGAATACTCGTTGACGGGTTGGATCGTGACAATTCGGTTCTATGCAGAAAGTGTGCCAGGAAGATTATCAATTGCACCACACTTTATTATGACATTAAAGGTGGTTTAATACCTGAAAAAAGTAATACCATTATGCAAGATAAAGACCAAGAAGATACGAAAACGCAAATGGCCGAGACCAATGAGCGCAAGCGTAATAACACCTCGCCGCAAGAAAACCCTCGTGAACGATAGTTACGATACAAGGAAAAATAACAGTTTGACATGTAAGAAGTCGCTGTTTCAAATGCAATCCTCTTCTGAAAAGGAGGAAAACATTAATGATGCCATAGCGAATCTGATGTGTTTGCCAGTCTCCGAAAAAGAAGAAAAAGTATCATGTGTTGTGAAGGTGAGTGAGCTGATGACGATTTTTTCAGTGTTAGTTTTTAGCCCTCTCAGCCGTATACCCTTGACTTCCCAGAGCTTTTCTTTGGAAAGCAAAATTGTTAGCATATGGCGTTAGCCAGGAGAAAATATTATATAAAACAAGGACCGGCCAATGTGGAGAGAATGACGGTTTTTTTTTGCGCACGTTATATATAAACCAATTATTAATTGGGCCATTCCATTTAATATGCTCACCTCCCCCCCCCCCTATTGAAGGTTAGGGTTCGACACCCACTGGGGCCGGTTGTTCAAAGGTGGATTAGCGCTAATCCAGTTTTAAAATTTAACCCACTGTTTTAGTTTGCAAATTTCAGCATGTCCATTTAAAACTTATATTGATTCAGACATGGTTTGTGAAGAAATATTTCTAAATTTATAACCAAGCTGTTTAACCTAGGGTTAAGCTAATCGGCTTTTGAACAACCGGCCCCTGGAGATTTATACTAATATACCCGACTGGATTTTTTGTTGCCTTGTAATCTTCAACCATCTAGGTTTTTTTAAACATTTTTTGGACCTACTGATCAGTTTTTGCTTTCACCCCTTAGAGGATATAATAGGTATTTTGTAAAAAACCTGCTCCTTTCCCAAACCCCCCATGAATTTTACTTGGCTCTGTATAGTAACCCCCCTTGGATATTGCATTCTTGGAAAGCCCTCCTCCCCCTGGATATCCATGACCCTCAATAATGGGGGGGGGGGGGCACTTATTAAATGGAATGGCCCATTGAAGAATTTGAGTCTAATGAGTAATGATCTATTTGCTGAAAAAACTCCTGTGTAATATTGCCATTATTTTATTGGCAGATATTTGTTGGATACTCTTCGGGTCGTGTAATCAAACACAATTGCAATGATCACGAAAGTTTGCTTGTAAAAAATTTGGCTCTGAAGAATTACAAATCCTCAGCTGTTGGTGTTGTGAAGTTTGGCCCTCTGAGAGATCATGTTTTTGAACAAGTTGGGAAAGAAATGAAGAGAGAAATCCTAATGTATACCACAACTCCTGATGCAAGTTTGAAATACCATGGTGATATCAAGAAGCTCGCAGATTATCGGAATGATCAATTGATAAAAGATGCAGCAGAAAAGCTACCAATTGTGGATGCCATAATCAATGCTGCATTCCCAGGACATAAGAGAGTAAAGAACTCTTTAAATAAACGTGCATTAATAATTTCTACCCTGATAAATCCATGGTTATCTCGTTCTAACTTCACCTACCGTATTCCGATCTCTTTGCTCATCTCAGGTGGGTGCAGGTCGGAAGAAGTAGATTGCTTTCATAAATTGGGACTATCAAGTCACTACAACACCTTACGTAATATGCAGACGAATGCAGGTGTTTCTCATGATAAAGTTCTCATTGAGTGGAAAGACAGCATTGTTGATGCAAAGATGAAGGCTCGACTATTGGAAGAAATTCTACCAAAACAGCTTGATGATACTATGATGGATGTATGCACAGTTGACTTCTCACCTGAAGCTGCTGCTAAATGTGTGAACTATAGTCCAGGGGTTTATCAATTTTGCAAAGAACTTTTGCCAAAATCTGATCATGACCTATATGATGACACAGAGATTTTATCTGCAATTTCCTTGGTTAAGAAAGAAAAGTTACCCACGTTCAGGTAATTTAGTTATTGCATAATGCTTAGATATACATATACAGTAATATGTCCTAATTTATGACTATAATAAAATTGTTTTCATAATATTTTTCACCAACCCCACCCACTCATCACTGACATTTTTTTCTGAAATAAAGTTGTTGGTGATAATTGGGACTTGGAGATTAAAGCACGATACCAGTCGAGGAAATGTAACAACCAGTCACTCCATTATTTTAATTCATATGCTGTTAAAGATCGGGTCAGTGGTAAAGATCTTAGCAATATACGTCCCCGTAAACTAATTGATCAATTGCAAATGGAAGAATTCATGCCCACAGCCAAAGTACAAGAGGATATCGTAGCTGATCTGGCTCACATTGTTCCTAGAGTTATTGTTCACCACATGAAACCATACAAAGAATTTAAGAATGCAGTGGTATACCATATTCCTCATGAACACACAAATGAAATGTCCACAAACTCTGAAATTGTAAGTCAATTTACTAATATCAAATAAGAATAAAATTATCTGGCATTATGCAGAATAAAATGCATCTGAAACTCTCTATTCTCTAATAATAAAGTAGGGTGCATCTGAGTACATTGCCACTTAAAGGGTTAATCACTGGTTGTAATGATCAAAATAATATATACATAATTGGTTAATGCTTTTGCTTTGTTCCTATTGTCATTTCGTGCTGTCAAATTGTTTACTAATAAAAATAATTAATTAATTTAGAATACATTTATTTTCAATTTAAATTTCAGTGCCCACTAGGACTTCATTTTTTAAATTCTAATAAAGCTGCAGAGATGGCTCAGATTCTGGATGACGTGCACAGTAAATACGTTCCAACAGTAACTTTGGATGTACCAGTAGTCCTTGATCATGTAATATTGGATGGTGATCAATTAACCGAGGAGAGAGCAAGGAATGCTCAGTGGGCAAATTCACTGGCTGGAACACAGGCAGAAAGAATGGAAGGAATAACACCTGGTTTTGCTGATTGGCATCTAAAAAAAAATTTCTTAACTGTATGTTTAACTGTCTTAAAATTAATGAATACTAAAAATTATAGATGGATCTTTGGATTTTGCCATGGGGGGTGACAAAAATTTAGGGGGCCAAGCCCCCAGAAAATGTTGAGAATTTTGGTCTTATTTAGTTCAAAATCCTTGTTTTTGCGTTAGATAGTCCAAAATCATTATTTCAATCAAACTATGAGCAGTTGGTGGTGGTGGTGGTGGTGGTGAGGGGGGGGGGTGCAATATATGGTGGGTGGAAAAACTTTGGAGGAGGGGTGGAGGGAGTGCCATATATTGAAATTACATGTGAATTAATAATTGTATTTGAAAATATTGCCTGATCATATGTAATCAACATGTGAATTGCTTGGTTATAATGAGGTACTGTAATTGACTTTGATGTACTTGGCGTTTTAGTCTGCTTAGCGGGCACATTTCTTTACCTAGTTGACGCATCTTGATGCGGAACCTTTGCCCCTTAATTAATTAGTAATATTATTGCTGATGGGGCCATGTTTATATTTTGTGGCAGTGCGTTGTGGATCCAGCACTTGCCACAAGTGTGCCACAGCACAGGTTCTTGGTTACACTGTACAAATACTCGAATAATTAATGGTTATTTCTTAACAGTGCTGCCCTAATTGTATTGCAGATTTGCTCAAAGCTTTTCTTTAAAGAAGGATCTGCTGGGGAAATTGGCACATCATGTGCGTCAATGAATCGAACAGGCAAAAGTAATGCCAAGAAAGGACCAGACGAAGATTACAATGCTTACAGTGATTTCATACAGCATGAAAGTGAGGCACATATCATTGCAAAATGGATTGCATTCGCAGGAATGAAAGATATGGAAAGTATATATTATACCATTATTTTGTTAAGCTCTTTTCCACACTAAAAAATTGCTCAAATTATATATGTATATTATTAAAAGGGGCAACATTTTCTTATTGTTGACCACCCATGTTTGGTACACAAGTTATTTTCTTTTTGTTATCTAAAAGTAATGGAAAATATCTAATGTGCTGTGAATATGGCAGACTGTATGTCAGTACCATATTATAATAGTTCAGGCAGGATAATTAAAAGTTCTTTTAATTAAAACTTTCTAAATACTTTTAAATTAATGGACAATGTTTGCAATGTGTCCAATTAATGTACAATTATGACATTTTGGTAATTGGAAAAGATCACCTTTTGTGCATTACACTAAAGATGCCTGTTTTTTATATCGGCTTTTTTTCCCCAAAAACAATTTAGGTTCCCCATTAACAAGACCAATTCCAGATATCACCAACTGGGACCTTCAGACGAAAAGAGATTGGCTATACAAAGAAATGCATGTCTTTTTAACAGAAATATTTCAAAGAACCAATTTACACGAGAAAGTAGTTATGTTAGATGAAGCATTTACACAAGGATTCACTTGCCGTCAGACTCATTGTGAAAAGAAGTTTCAATTGCACTCAACAAGAATAAGGTAATCCATTGAATCGCATTGCGCACTAATTCGCCCTCTCTCAGACTGTCTAATTATTTTATTAGATTATTATTTTACTGCTTAATGTCATACGATTTTACTCGTCAAGGGTGGCACTGGCACTTAATGTGTTAATATGTGCAAAAAAGTAATTTTTTATCTTATTACTGCAGATGATTTCACATTATTATTCCAAACTTCGTCATTTCAAAAATTTGCGGCAAGGTTAAAAAAGTTCATAATGAAATTTACAATCCGTTTTGTAAAATAAGTAGCATTTTAATTTTTTCTATTCTAGGACAATCAGAAATAGCTTTGTTTGCAAATTGGTTCATGAATTTCATTTTGAAGTTTTGAAAATTTTTTCAATTTCTTCATGCCAAACATTTTTCTATCTCAATGTCATTTTATGATGTAGACATGAACAACAAATCCATAACTTGATTGTAAATGATGGTGGTGATGAAAGCAGAGACAAATTTGGCTACTACAAGTGTCGTGGTTCATGTTCTCTTATGTTTGCGACTGATGCTACAAGGAAAAGGTAAAAGTTAGACTGATTACTAGTAGTAAGATTACTATAGTAAAACCATACTGCTGGACAATGAGCCTAATAAAAACTGAACATTCGCAAACCCACTCCCTTTAAGGGGCAAGGCTGCAATGATTTTATCCTATTAAGATTTCACACAGGTCTGCTGATGAGCCCTCATATCTGTCCTTGCTATGATGAGGAGGCTAACGAGCCCTGGTCTGCCTTCCTCATTCAAAATATTATTTGTTATAATTTAGTGCTGTGCGCCGGAGTTGCCGGAGCCGGAGTTCTGCTGGAGCTCCGGCGGTTTTTCCGATGCCGGAGCAGAATTTTGTATGCCGGAGCACGGAGCCGGAGTTACGTTTTCCCAGCTCCGGCAAAATGACAAGAAACCAATTGAAATGAGACAAATGTCAAACGATTGTTAGTTACTGCAAACTGCCAATTGCTGTTAATGAATTCATCATAGACTTAAACTGCCACAGCCCACAGGAACAGCGTCGAAAAGCTGTAATACGATCGCAACTTACAAACGTCATGCTTTCATGAAGCCATCTGACTTAGCGCTACATCGTCTGTGTATTCATGCCTTGTAGATAACGAAAAAGTACAAAAACAAATAAATATCATCCTTTTGAAAATGACAGAGTAGTTTGTTTGGGTGCGAACAATTGCGCTGTGGAGTCTGAGAGTGTTAGCGTCATGCCTCGCGTCATGCTATACAAAAATTGCAACACTGCCTGGTTTCCATATAGATATTTTCTGCGTGGTTAAGTGTTTTCACTGTTTTGTTTCCTGAGTTATGTTATCTGATAATTAAGAAGTGCGAAAAGGGTTATTCATAATAATGTTAATAAAAGTTCTCTGATCGTAAAACATTTATTTAATACTTTATGATATGGCCGGAGCCGGAGCTCAGAGCTATAATTCGGCCGGAGCTGGAGATGAAAAACCGGAGTTTGCACAGCACTAATTATAATTATGCAACAATCTTTACATTTCAGGCATGAAAGTACAAAACACTCAGATGTACATATTATGACAAACCCTGTGTTGGAAGATCATACAATGGAACAAGCTTCTGAGACAGACTTTATTTATAATTATCATAATGCCAGACTGCAATTTGGGATGCTTTTTATGAACATTGTAGATGCCATCCGGGAAGGTGATGGTTTTCGCCTAACAAGATGCTACAAATTAGTTATCCTGTTTGCCTACAAATTCAAGCACACAAAATATGCTTATGCACTTTTATTATTGTTTGTGCAGACCGGTGCAGTGCTTTCAGAAGAGGAGTCATTCTGTCTAATTATGAATAGATTTGTCAATGTTAATGATAAAATAGGGAGAAATATTCCATTAGACCTGCACATGGAACACCTAAATTTATTACTAAAACGTCTGTCTAAAGGGATGGGTAGTAACATTACAACAAAGTCATTGCAGCGAGCTGCTAGGTCAGTTGTTGCAATAAACAATATAATGGAAGGGATTTACAAAGACTGTTCCAAGAAGAAGAAAAGTGGCAGTCACGGAAGCAAGAACCCAGAAGAGGCTGTACAAATTGTAGTAAAGGACCTGTTAGATGGCAAAGTGTTTCAGAAGACAAATGGTAGAGCTGGTTACCCTACATTTCCTAAGTTCACATCAAATGTCATTGATATTGACTACAGAGACTTTTTTAAGTGGACAAAAGACTGCTTAAACCGTTGGAAGGGGGTGTACGAAACTACCAAGAAATAAACTACTGTATATGTTACATTTAGACTCATTATTAATCGGTTGTACCAGAAAAAATCTACACTCACCCCACAGAGGAACTTTCTACCATCCAGATGGAGAGAGAAAAATTTTTTTCTGATAATAGTCAGTGTATTATGATATTCGAAGGGAGGGGGGTTAACTTCTAATTTCCTCTGTGAGGGAGATGTGGATGTTTTCTGGAATGACCCAATTCCTCATTTTATATTTAATTAATTACAGAATTAACATGATTGAATTATTTCAATATAATGATTAGCATTTTGATTTATCTTATAAATCTTCAAATTCAGTCACATTAATTGGAGGAATTGGAGCAATTAATCTGTTCATATCGCTTAGATATTCCTTTGAATAAACAAGGGAATATAGTTCATCTGGTATTAAAATGTCATTAAAAATCTCATTAATAACTTCTAGAGTTATGACTGCAACCTTCAAGGAAGGAGCAGTATAGCACTCCATCAAATCATACACATTAAAAATAGTTTGAACATTACTCACAATTGTATTAATCAGTTCATCAGAAAGACCATGAGTGAGGATGCCAGTGGAATCAAACATTGCCACCATCACCACCTTTGGCTTGACAGGACAAGGACAGTTGTATTTCTTTGAGAGCATTGTATAAACATTCTCTTTCTTCAACACTGACATCTCTTATTTGATCATCATCACCCAAACTTTCTGGTAAATAATCAAATATAGGCACTGGTTGACTGCAGCCAGATGCATCAGAATTGCACATGCAAGCTTTATGACAAACATTACAACAGTCATGGAATGGACTCAATGGGCAAACTTGGTCATCAAAATCCTTCAAAAATGACACATGACAGCAAGAATTTGATGACTTGGTTACCGCTCTTTTGATGTCTTCTTCACATGCAGTCAAATGGCGCCCATGATATATTGTCAGATGAAAAGCCTGTTTCCCATCTCTTCCCCCTATACCTGCTTCCTGTAAATGGCTGGTCAAGTTGCGAGATGGACCATAATGTACTACATATTGTACATGTGGAAAGTCTATGCCCATACTTAAAGATGTTGATGCAAATACCAATCGAACATTTCCACCTAATCCCTCAAATGAAGAACTAACACTTTCCTTGTGATTCTTTGGCGTTTGAGAATAATACACTCCCAATAAACAACGTTCATGCGCCGGTTCCTCACCGTCTGTGTAAATACCAGAGGTCCCCAGTCGCATCAAGAAATGTGTTAACAATGAAACAATGTCATTAACTGTTCTACAAAAAATAATAGTGAAAGGTGTTTCTCCTTTTCTCTCCAGCATAAGGTGTATCAGCCAGTCAAAGCAATGGAGTTCCTTATCAGCACGTAAGACAGTAAATCTTAGATTGTTCTTATTTGGACTGACAACTATATGCTCAATTCTCTTCATACCAAGGTATTTGGCTAAACGGTTACGCATTTCCTTATTTGCAGTTGCTGTTAATGCAAGAACAGGTGTGTGCATAGCAAGAAAAGATCTTAGCTCTGACAAACGCCCAAAAGCCTCCCTGAATGCTGCTTTTCCTTTTTTTCCAATTCCCCTAAATAAAAAAAATAATATATTCAGTCATATTATAGCAATACATATCAATTCGCATATTGTTAAATATATATGAAGATTACTGTGGTTGCTAAGATAGTCATGTTGCATTTTTCAGGTAGACTACCTTTAAATATAAATCAAACGTGGTGGTGCCAGTGTGGCCATGCAGGCCCATGCTATAAATAATTTAGTTATAATTATCACAAAAATGCGAGCAACATACCACGTTTCAATTGTATGTACTTCGTCCACTACCAATACTTTAGACTGATGTAAACCACCGTACTGTAGGCATTTCTTCCATCGATTATTGAGCCATTGTTCAGCACCACCGTAAACGATATTATATTTGCCTTCCGATATTTCTTTGTCGTTCTCTTCTGATTCACCGATCGCAGCTGCACGTACTCCACACATGGTCTTTGCCACATTTGCAACCTGCTGTTGCCTAATATACTCCAGAGGACTAACTACGACAATCATAAAATGCTTCATCACGCCCGTTTCAAGCAAGTGCAAATTTTGGTAAACAGTCGGAAGAAGTTGGTACACAAGGCTTTTCCCAAAACCAGTAGGTAAAACCGCAAGGACATCTTCACCACAATAGATTAGCCTTCTGATGCATTCTTGCTGTTCTGGTTTCAGAGTATGACATTTTATATCACTCACAGTCTTACTTAAAGCTTTTAAAAATATATTCATTCTACTTTCCGACGCCATGTTTTTAATACACTAGCTCAGCCTGCGCATGGGAAGAAACCGGAAATTATTAACTAATGAAAACCAATCAAAACAAGCTATTTGAATTTTAATTTATTCTGACCAATCATAGGAAAATACCAATATTTGGTATGAATGCGCACGGTCTAATTAACATTTGTATCAGGCTTTTCTTTCCTCTCCCTTTCCTCCCCGAAAAGCCTGATCGCAGGTTAGGGGGCGCCTGACATCCTATCGTCCTTCCATAACACAATTCCAAACCCTTTTCTGCGAAAAGTACAGGGCCGTTTTTGAGCATATCAACATTTAGTCATAACTCCTAGTCAGCTAGTGAACATTTGTTGTGAAGACAAATTATACTTGGTCAGTATATCAGTCTAAACGAACTTTTGGGAAAGTATTAATGCCCGCCCGGATTTTTGAATTCAACACATGTTGTGTTTTGCGATTTTTCCTGCCCAAACAACAAGTTATCCGACGATAAAAAATGCGTTATAGGATTCTATGATAGTCGTTGATAAATGTCTTTGGCAAAAGAATCTTGCAAATTTAAAGCATGCCGCGTGAGAAACATTTCTTCGGTTCACTTTGCAGCTGACCTTTGCTTCAGGTTGTAAAATCTACAACTCGTCTGTTGTGTTTTGCGATTTTTCCTGAGCTACAGAAAAGTGTTTCAAACTCTTACACTTCTTCATATCATCGGATTTAATGCATTAAAAGATGTCCTCCTTGAAAAGGTTTGATAACGCGCCTTTATCTATTAAAAAATGGGGACTAATACAACAACAACTGTTTGACAAGCCATGTCTGCATGTACAAGAGCAGTCTAAAATAACAATCTTTTGCGATTTTTCCTGCGGACATGGTCTGCTGAATCGCAATAAAAACCGCACAGAATGAAGCAAACAGTCATGTAGATGAATGTCTTTCTTTGCAGTATATCTGCCGGTTTATACAGTTGCTGTGGTTGAAGGATTTACGCAGACTAACGCTGTTTCAGCTCGAATCTGAAACTGAATCTGAATCTACATGAAATTCGAATCTTAACGTTGCAGTCGTATAGGGCTATAAGCGCACGAGGGGGGAGGGGGCGGGAGCTGGGGGTCGGCTGCAGTCCCCTTTTCCCCAATCAGTGTTTAGTCGGGGCCGGGGTCTGTCGGGCAGGTTCTATTTAAAATGTCGGGCAATTTGCTAGGGCTGCTTCCCTCGGTATAATGTACATTTGTATTTTGTTTTTTGTACAGTTTCCCCTCAAAACACTTGTATATTTGTTCTGTATCTTTTATTTATACCGTTTTATAACCGCTCTATTTCCGCGCGTCTGTATAGGACATGTATTCTTTCTATTTACCTTCTACTCATTTATCACTGATAAACCCATGATAATGTCGGGCAATTTTCATCAATGTCGGGCAAATGTTTCCCCTTCACCCCTAACGTTTTCCCTACGTCTATGCATATGGCCAAAACGTTTAATCGGCTTAATTAATGTTAGTGAAGTTTAAGACGAAGTGCTCCTTCAATTACCTGAAGTTGCTTCTTACGCCTATTAGCAATATTTATATGCAAATTTTAACATCGAGAGTACGCGTTAATTAATAAAATACGTACCGTTTTAGACACGAAGCCGAAACCACTGATGGCCAAACAAGTATTTTTCAATCCAAGCATGCATTCAGATCAGGATTCAGGCAACGCATACTAAACAGTGGCGGCGGAACGAGGGAGGCTAGAGGGGTAGGGGTCTACAGCCCCCCAAAATAAAAGTGGGGGCTAAGCCACCCCCCCCCCCCCGCCACCCCCTTCCGATCTCTCCAAAAATTTGGATAAGATTCAAAATTTTGTAGGTTATATATAAAATTGGGCAAATGTAGAGCAAAAATTTAGGAAATTAAAGATGAAAGAAAACGTGTCAAGTTGGAAATATGTGAGGTCCGGAAAATTTTTATCCCCCAAAAAAAAAAAGAAATGGGAAAACTGTTCCGTCGCCATTGATACTAAATGTGTCACCATGACAACAGTATTAAATTTATAGGATCAGGTTTCGTAGAACACGGTTTACGCGGTCCACATGTTCAAAAACTTGACGTTTGTCCTAGAAACAATTAATGCAACCTAATTAAATTTAAAAATTGATACAAAACTAATTAAATATGAACAGTAGTACGTTAAGCACAGCCACACGAAGGGCTGTGAATCGTTACAGTTTTTTAAAAAGTATACTCGTCGCACATTTTGTAATTTTGATAATTTTGATCGTATAAATTAAGTTGTTATATAGTCAGTGTCAGAGTTCAATTTTTCTGTTTGCTGATTGGACAAAACCGTATCACGTGCCGGTCCACAAAACGCATGTTCACTGCAGGCTTTGGCGAGGAGGCAACCGGTCAACATCAACAATGTAACAGTTATTGAACGGGTTAACAATAGAATGGTTGCAATGCGCATGCGCTTCAATCATGAAGTTCCAAAGTTTATTTTCTAAACTTTTTATTAAAAATTTACGGCGTTCCATTTATCCCGTTCGTTTTGGTTTCAAATTAAGTTCACTTCTATAACCAGTGAATTATTCATACTTTGACACTTATACACTCTTTGACTAAACACTTATTTACTGAGACCTCGGGAAAGCAGTGTGTTTTGTGGCCCTCGACCGCCGGTTGTTGCGGTCTCGGGTCCACAAAACACACTGTTTCCCTCGGTGTCAGTAAACAAGTGATAATTAAATATATTAATTAATTCAACCCAATTGCTGTAAATAATACGTAATTCAGCCTTTTTTCAAAAGGAACGGGGAAAACGTATGACAAATCTACTGTGAATATACTGCTTGTAAAGCACCAAATTTTGGGAAACTACATTGAAGTACGTGTTATTGGTGGGAGAAGTCGGAGGCCAATTCGGGCGGGGGGGGGGGGTGACATCAAATTGCGTTTTGATGAGGGGGTCGAAACGTTTGGTCATTTTGCGATTAAAACAGACGGGCACTGCACCAAAATTAAATTCCAGCGAATCCTTTCTTGCATTCTGTGCAAATAGTTTACCGAGGCAAAATTTACCTAAAGTTGCGATGCCCGTTACTCTTAAGACAAAGGCAACTATAAATTGTTTTTCCAGTACGCCGTAGTTGTTCGAGATGCTTATACTTTATTTATTTACATCATTTTCATGGTTCATAAGCACACAAACGGTTACGAAGTCTACCGTTTGGGGTGCTTTATGTGAATTGACTGACTATTGCTACCTAACGGTTGTTTAAAAGAAAGATAAGCACTTTTAAGAGGAAAAAAAGTTATATATATATATATATATATATATATATATATATATATA